GTTATTGCAAACCTCTCTCTCTGAAGAACAGTGCCAAAAGCTGACTGCAGCTGGTGGTACCATGTTATGATCTTAAGATATAAGCTGCTACATAAATTTTCCTCTTTCATTTTACTCAGACTATTTAGTTGAACATGTCTCTCTCATAGCCTCTCTCTGGCCTGTTTTCAAGCTTCCACACAAAGTGAAGTAGCCCACTATGTGCAACACCAAAGTTGAGCCACAACACTCCCAGAATGGATTCCCAGCATAAGTTTCACCACTGCTTTTTTTTTCAGTGGCACACTCAGCTTTTCACAGAATTCTAGACTAATGTTCTTTGTCTGTTTGGGTGTGTTTTAAAGTGGCCAAACACCCCATTGGTCCCTTCTCTCCCCATTTACTGCAACATCAAGCATACTACACTTGGAGTTGGCTGTTGTCTTACAGGAGTTCTCATGGAAAAAATTCTGAGCCTTTGTTGATCGCCAACACCACATCTCCCTCACTGTTACTTAAACAAATGCAGGAGGCTAAATAAGGACTTTCATACCTGAGCAGCAGATGTGACTTACTGAGAATAACAGTCTGGTTTTTACGAGGAGCTAAGAAGATTCATGTTATTCTGCTTGCAAATTAAAGCCTTTCAGAAGCACAGTACTTTGCCACGTGTCATGACACAGTAGTGATTAGCTTTTTTGGTAGCACTTTTCATCATTCCAAAGCACTTCCAAAACTTAGTTAAGTATTAACCAACAGTGGCAGTGGGAATACAATTAGTGACATCTTCCACAGACTGACCTTTTTCCTTGCCCAATTTTTCAGTAGTCAACTCCAAAAATTGGAAGCAGTTACTAAATTTGTTGAAAGAAGATACAGCAAGTCTTTGCATTGCAATTATTTTGTTGCATACTCTAGATTAAAAAGCAAAACCGAGTTTGTTCCAAGTCCATTATATCAGCTACTTAGGTTACACAAATTTTAAGCTCCTATGGACAGAAAAAGTGAAAACCGATGGAGCTGATTTTTTCTGAAGATAGTGTGAACGGGTCAGCAAAGGGAGAAGACAGAAAAGCATGGCCCCCACACCATTCAGGTCTGCCACCCATCAATCAAATGGGATTCATGTTACAGAACAGGTTTTCCAGGCCATTCACTTGCTTATGACAGACCCATCTGTACCTGATATTCATCCAACCTACTTGTAAAGGCATACAATGGCAAGTCCATTGCCTCAAAAAGATGGTGTCTTTCTGAAGATAAAGGGTCCCCATTGAGTCAGAACTGTTTTCTCGTTTATTCCCAGTAGCAGCTCAAATTTAAGCTCTTAGAAACATGGAGTCTTTATTTGTCACTCACCCCAAAGTCAAGGGATCTTGCCAACTCAGCAATTCCACAGTGGTAGAGCTTAACATTTACTGTCCTCCTCCTTCCCCTGTCCCACAACATCACTCTAAGAAATACTGGATCTATCTGACCTAAAGCTTTTTTCATCTACTCTGAGAGACTTGCCCTGCTCTTGGATTGCTTCCATGAGGGGAAGATTTTTGGGTTATAGCGTGTGCCTCTGGTACAGCAGCTGAGCAGCAAGAGGCTGGGATAGCTGGAGCTGGAGCCTAGTCTGTGCTGCAAACAGTAGAGGTTCAGGTGGGTGCTGGGCAATGAAGCTACTTGCAAAGCAGAAGAGTGGCTAAGAGACAGGTGGAAACGAGAGAGAGGCGTTGGAGGAGATGGCTGCCGGAGCTCCGTGTGATCCAACTGACAGAGGCAGAGAGCCTTGACCGCGCTTAGGTAGCTAAAGCACAGCAAAACAGAAATTCTCAAAACCAGTAGCTACTAAAAAGACCCCAGACTCATTAAATTGCTGAACTGTGAGAGGATTTGGGCAAGTGATGGGGAAAGGAGCAGAGGGCAGGTGTCAGTTACAGTGCCCTGAAGGACACAGCCCTCCCTCGCTGCCTGTTATCTGGGTGCTCCTGCTTCTTTCAAGACCCATGACAGGTATCTCTTCTGGTCACCTGTAGGCTCATTCCTCAGCGTAAGAACTGCCTTTCCTCACTAAAGCTTTCCTTCAAGATTATTTTGCAACTATCTTTTCTATGGGTTGGAACAGAAAGAAGAAAAAAAACCCAAAACACTACCCTAACTTTGGAGAGACGTATAGTGTACTCATTCAAGAGCTGACAGCAACCATTAAAGCTGACCTGTATCTTAAGATATACTTTTCTTTTTTTTCCCTATGAGTAGTTTGGTGCCGTTACATAAGGGATGTAGCTATATTTTAAGCAAAACCACTTAGGTCAGGGTAATAGCTACTTCTCTTACCGCAAATGATGCCAGCAGTCCAGCTAGTGGTGGAGCTTTGGTTGTCTTCTTGTCAGTTAACCAAAAAACCAGAATTTGTGCACACACAATCGATTCCAGAAGCTAGGATTAGTGCAATTTATTTTTCACTCTTGCCTTGCAGGGTTTGGTTTTGTTTTTTTTTTTGGGGGGGGTGGGGAGGGGAGGGGCACATGACACAACACAAGGGCAGAAGTAGCTAGACTTTCCCAAGCTGTCAGGATGAGCCATCATTTAACTCCATCTGGTAGGGTCAAAAGGAAGCCGGAGAATATACTGATTGTTGGACACAAGGTGTTGAAGCAAAGCCCGTACACCTGGATGCCATATAACCCTAGAATAGCTTTATTATTTAATCTATAATTTAATAGTAGACCTATAAAATAATTACATTATACTTAAAGCATTTCTTCATTTTTGTTTTCATTTATAAAACAAGAATTAAATACAGTTTTAACCATTACAAGCTCAACACAGTTTTTACATAAACACAGCCCCTAGAAGGAGCTTTAAGCTGCAGCATATTCATATTGCAAACTGGTGAAAAACCCAGGCAGGGCATAGCTTAAAGATAAAGATTCTTGCACATTTTTCTTAACTGAAGTTACTAGGGTGCTTTTCTCTCTCTACTCCGAAATGCCTGTCAGTTCATTTCTTTCAAGCGGGAGACTGAGATCCCTGGAGTCTTTAGACTACCGCTATTCCCCCTTGCCCCCCCCAGCCCCCCCGCCCCGGCACCCTCCAGCCTAGACTGAACGGTGCCTATGGGATGGCTGGCACGACGCCAGCAGCATGGCAGCGCCCGCCTCTAAAGCAATCCCTGTGCCAGGAACCTCCCTGCGCACTACTGACACGCGGAAAGATCACAGCAGAAAAGCCAGGGCCGCTCACGTAACAGGGCTCACAGACCTGACCAACCTCATCCTGCCCGTGCCAATCCCCGTAAACCGCTTGGGGAGCGCTCGTGGAGCTCAGTCCCGAAAGCCTCTTAGAGCAGCCAGTCTCGCATAATAGAGACCCGTGGCACCGAACCCCTGGCTGGCAAGAGCTTAAATCCGTGGAAGCGGCTGCATGTGGAGGGGCTGGTGGGAAAGGGCTCCCACCGCAAGCTGGTTTCACTGGCTGCAGATGCTGAGCTGCGAGACGTGCATCAGGGAGTCGGCGTGTCGTTTTTAATTTGTAAGCTTCAGACAACTGAGCACGCACGGGCTTTGGTTTGGGGGAAGGGGCTTGTTTGTTTTGAGACATGGGATTTTAATGCAGCTGGGACTAATACAGATCAGAACTGGAACAAACGGGATATACGGGACATGCTAAACTCCATCAACTGAATAACAACACAGTATGATTTAAAATGAACTGCAAGTGTTCCCCGACACTGATTACGTAGGACTCCAAAAATTGAGTGGACCACCAGTACTGTAGCAATTACAACTTACTCTCTCCCTGCTCCTACAGCTGCGACCTGTTCCAGTGGCACTGACTGACAGCTTTGTCCTTTAACACATAAACGTGGTTTCCAACCATGGGAGAGAGATCCCTCCCAAAACCTGATGCAGCTTTTGTATTCAGTCCAGCAATGACCAAACCTTGTCCTTTGTGCGACAGTGCTTTTATACCTTAAGTGAAACGTCATTCCCTTAAGTGTTCCCAGCTTCTCTCCCACTACCCTCCCACACTCCCTGGTCTGAGCAGGCATAAATATAAGGTCATTAATGGATGTTGTTCTTTCTGGAGTAAGAAAGACACGCAGAGCTAGCACACAAAAACCTACCAAAAGCCTAGTTAAACCAGGTCCATTTTAAGCCAGGCAGCTGACCTAGCAACCAAGTCTCTTACTCAACACATTTTAATCTCTGGCATATTCTGCCACAAGAAAAATATACATGGCTAGGTCTATAGTACTTTAAACAGCTGTTTACTATAGCTAGGTTACAAAATAAACACTGCTGCAGAGACCACGCATTTGATATGCTCTAACCACAACAGCATCAGAACCCATCCTCAGTCTGCTCCGTGGTCACGGTGGCTGACCCAGCGCCGCGCCCTCTCCCCCTTGCTTCTTATCTGCCGTTCAGACAACAAGCCTGGAACCATCTGTCATTGCACAATTAAAGTTGTCTTAAGGAGATGAACCTCATCAGAGAGTCTCACTTGCTTTTTTTTACACGTTACTCCTCATTGCTTTCCCTTATCGGTGTCCCCCAGTCCTGAGCAGCACCCCGGCACTTCCAAGTGGGAGCGGCAAGCTCCGGACCAAAGCAGGGGGAAGGCGTTCTCGTCTTGTGGAGAGGACTGGAGTGTAGGGCAGAGCGCTTTACTCCACACAGTGGAAACATTTAATGCTGGATTCAGCCAACTGGTCACTTAGATGATCAATCCCAACTTCTGGGAGCCTGCTCCACTCCAGAAGATTCAACCACCAAATGATACCAGAAACACAATGAAATTTTACGGTGAAGTGCCTAACACAGCCCATTAAAAAGCTTTATTCCAGTAGGCAAGCGACAAGGAGCCTTTCCTTGCTGGAGAGATGCCTCCTGAAAGAAAATGAAACACAAAAAAAAAAAAAAAAAGGAAAATAAGAAACAAACCAACAAAATAGACAGTTTGCTCAGTGGGAGAGGCAGCAGTAAATCTGATGGGAGCAACACCAAGCAGTAGCTACACGCCTCCTCTCACAGTTTGCCTGAGTTGTTAAGATTCACAGACATGCACCGGCACTGCTTGACCTTCTGAATTTTCTTGAGTCGGAAAGGTGGGTCCATCTCAGGGCACTCCAGCTGCACAGTCGAAGAGGTGACCTTGTGTGGCTTGCAGAAAGCACAGGACTGGAAGGACTCCTCCTCCTTCTTCACATGACGTGGTATGTAGAAGGAGTTGCACTGCCCATAGCAGAAGCGGTTGATGATGGTGCGGCTTATGCAGCCCTCCTCGCTGACAGTCTGCCGCAGGGGCTGTGTCTTGCACCAGTCGCTCTTGAGGTACTTCCTCTCCGTGACCACCAGGGCCTCCTGGCTGGAGGCCAGCACCTCCTTGTTCAGCTGCTGCCTCCGCTCCGAGTGGTTGCTGCTGCTGTCTTTGTACGGGGAGGGGATGGCGCCAGCGGGACGGTTTTTCCTGGTGTCTGTTACTCGAACCAGCGCTGCCATCAGAAAAACGGACAAGGCGAGTTTCCAAACCATCCTGCAACGGCAACACAAGTCGCTGTTAGGAGAGACGCGTTTTCAAACCGCAGAGTCATAGCAGAGTTGAACTTTACGCGTGCTTTTAGAAGAAGCGAAGGTCTTACTGCTTCTGTAATCCCAACACTTTTCCTAGGGGATTAGCCCTACTCTAGGGTGATTATTTGTCATGAAGAGGCCAGGCCCTGTTGCAAGTCACATCGTTCCCCTCCACCCCCTGCCCAAGCTCTCCAACTGCCCTTTTTTCCCCCGTAGAGACACTGCTGCTTTGAGTGCTGAAGCAGTGATTTTACAGAAGCTTCAGCCAGAAAGGTTTCCTCCTTCTCTGTGCAATCCTGGGCCAAACAGCTGGGCAAATTCCTGGCTAATGAAGATTCAGAGACTCCTGCCAATACTGTGACAGCTGATTTGGGGACAGCAGGGGAGAGGGGAAGCGAATACCAGGTTACCCAAGGTGAACTCCCATCTGCCTCTCCAGCCCTCGAGTCCCTGCCCAGCCTTGTTCCACACAGAAGTAGCGAGAGGTGTCCAAAAGTGTGTTTTTATTATTTTAAATTGCTTGTGAAGTTTCTTGGGGCTTTTATGGCACTTACAGGCTTGCATTTGTTGTCTTTGTGGGAGGCCGAAAACTTGATGAATTTATTCTTGCAGTAAGAGGAAATGCTTAAAGACAACTCTGAGGACTTCATTACTGCAACACCTCTTAGGCAAATGGTTTAAGAACGTTTGTAAACAGGAGAGAATTCGATATTTATTTTAGATGTTAAGGAATAGGGTAGAGCATAAGCCAGTTGCTAAGTTAAGATAGTCAGCCAATTGGCAAAAATACTTTTTCCTATGGTTGTCTATTAGGATTTCTTGTTTTGTGGAGCATCTCTTACCAGCTCTTGGATTTTCATCAACCACTTGTCCAATTCAGTTTAGTACTGTGTCTCGATGCGCTTCCAGGATATCAGAGTAGACGTACTAAATTTCCTCATAAAGTCAATGCTCACCAGTGAACTGCCACAACTCATTTGATAGTTCATTTCATGTCACTCTCCCTGGGAAGGGAGAACAGAGGCTCTCTAGGGTGCCAAAAGTGAGTGCAGCCCAGAAGCTTCCCATTCGGAGGCAAGGACGCCTCAAGTCTTTCTACAAGTCCTCTGCTCACCTTTGTTCTTAATGAACTGTATTTTTATATTAGCGTGCAGATGAAAGACTCATCCTTCTCTTCCCAGTAAAGCTTCAAATTGTTCGAAGTAATCTTTTTTTTTTCATTTAGAGTGATGTCAAGATTAAAAAAAATAACATCACACTGGTAAATATAAATATGTCTAACACTATAGACACTTGAGATGTTGCGTAGATACTCCTAACATTCAGACATGCTGTTTTCCAAAGACACCAGCAGATCAAAAAAATGTTTGTGGCAAAGGTGTGAGAGAAGATGACAACAGCAATAATAAATACTTCTCACCTAACAAAGCCAACCTAATGTATTTAACCCCTGTGGAGACAAAGAGAAGGAATTACTGCAGCAGACTAGATGAGATAACATCCCTTTAGGTGATTTTCTGAGTTTATGAGATCTGTGTCAGACTTTGACTAAATTTCTAAGGGGAGAATTTTGAAGTGCTGAAGGAAAGTGCTAATCTTATAGCTGTAAACGGAGGATGTTCTGATACAGAGTTAAGTTTCACCAGATTGTGTGCTTGGAACACAACCACCTTTAGATGGAAACGAGTATTTCTAAAACCCAAATAAGCTCATTCATCTGCAACCACACCAGCTGCCCACTGACACCCATTGTAGCCGTGGGTACTTTAAATCAGTGGCCTATTTTCACACTGCTTAGCATTCGGCACACAAGTCCAGAAGTTTTGTCCAGAGTCTTTAAATGAAGCAAGACTAGACTTGGCTTTGCTCACAGGTATTGTCGCCAAGACCACTGGATGTCAACCCACACAGCCAAGCCAAAACCTAATCAGGTAATTAGTTTCAGTTGAATATAGTGTTCCATGCTTCCTTTCAAACTGTTCTCATGTTATTCTGCACTGATGGCTGCATTTCAGTAGTAGATAAAACAACTGATCCCCGCTGCTTTGTGTTTTATATAGACGGGAGGAAAAAACCCAGGAGTTACAAGCCTACGTCTTCTAGAAAAAGACAGAGGTGAGCTCTCCACAAGATCCTTATGCCAACGCTCCTCAGGCGTACTCTTCTACTCTTCTCTTGAAACGCAAGCCCAAAATGCAATTGTGATAACTCTGGTGTTCTTCAGGGACGGAGTTTGGTCCTTTTCAGCAGGGATATCACCTCTCCAGTCTCATTTCTCTGATCCTGGAGGGGAAGAGGACGATACAGGTCCAGAGGCAACGTCAGAAGGAGAGATGCCCTCTTTCCCCCATCTCTTCCTCTTTTCTTTGGGAAACCTGTCTTACCACACCCGCCCTTTCTCATCACAAAATGCAAGTTGAAACTGTTTCCCTTTCGTCTCAAGGATGAGGTCAAGTAGAAATCCTATGTAGGAATTCAGGAAAGCTGGCGGAGAGCTAAAAATTCAAAGTCTACAATATAGAGAAACATTATAGTAGCTTTCTAATTACTGAAATAGTTTTATGTAGGCATGGAGAGCCATTCAACAGAGTAAGTAGGATTTATTCAGTAAGTCTATGTTTATAACTAATAAAGCATTGTTAATCAAAGCCACTATTGTAAAGTTATAAACCAAATGCTACAGTACATGTTAGCAAGTACTTCTCCAAGCAGGTAGGAACGCACCACCTATTTCTGTCATTGATCCTTATCAAACCCGGACCTTAAAATGTTTACATAATAGAATAATAATCTATTTTACACTAGCAGGTCAAATGTGCATCCTGTCAGATCGTGGAATTTCTAATCACAAGGTTGCCCCTTACTAGCCTGCAAATCACCCCTCTCTAAGCCCTGGCACACAAACCCCCTATTCAAGCGAGTAAGGGTGCAAACAAGGTCACCTGGTGCCAGCAACGTGCCAAGGAGTACGTATCTTTTTGGTACTCACACGCAAAGAGTAGAGAAACCTCAGTATTCGGAGAGATCATTTTGGTGAACTCAGCCTGAATGCAAAGCAACATGGTGAATGCTGTCTGTCTGCAGGCAGAGCGGGATGAGAAGAAACACAAAACACACTAGGGAAGAATCTGGCTTCTGGCAAGAACAGGGCAGTTTTGTCCTACTTAGATGTCACAGAATGGAACAGCATGTGGCTGAGACTGAGAAAGCGAGAACTGCCTCAGGAGACCAACGCCTCTAAAACTTGCCCAAATGGCAGCCTGTGCCCACCACTCCCCTTGTGGCAGAGCCGGTGGAAGCTTCCACGCGACAGTCCACAGCTTCTTCAAGCATCGTTGCCAGATGCTGCCAGTTACCCCTGCTCCTTTTGTCCAGTGCGTGAACCAGTGCAGAAAATAACCTCAGACTAGAGACCAAACAAGGCCCAGCTGCATTTGCGTTTCACATGCTAAGTTTTTATCTCTTTGAGATAAAGAAATCAACGTCAAGTATGAGTTCATAAACTCATCAAACCCATCCTGCTGGAGCTGGGCTATTAGGTACCCAGGAGTGTAAAAAACCCTTGGCCAAGGAGGCAAGAACGCCAAGATCCAGCTCTGTAATCCAGAGAGGTCAGGGCACTCGACCAGGAGGGGAAGCCCCAGGATCACCATGTCTGCCCTTAGCTTTATTTCTTCTTTGTATCCAATTACTGTGTAACATAAAATATCTACCAAGGCAGGCTCCCTCTCGCATGCCGACCTTCTGGCCCTATAACTCACGCATTCTTGAAAGCGATCCAGCACTGGAGCAGGACAGGCGGCAGTGTAACCCCCAAAATAGCCTATAGTTTTGTGGTTAGGGTACTTCTCTGGGACTTGGAGTATTGGATTTGACCTCAGAATTCAAGCGCATCGTTTTTGGAGAAGTCCTCCAAGGCAGAAGCGTGTGCTATGGTCTGAAAGAGAGGGCAGGAGGTAACGGCAGCGCCCATCTGTGCTGAGTGACGGCTCCACTGTTTCCTCTGGTTTTCAAAGGCGTGACCAGTTTCTCAGCTCAGGATGCAGTTTCTGACTAGGAATTCCTATTCCGTAGCTCAGCCCACTTCAGGGTTGCAGGTGCACAGAGAGAGAGAGAAGGATGTAACTGGAAGATCGCTGTGAGATTTTATGTTAGCTGCTCAGGAGTGAGGCCCATTTGTTTGGTTTAGCACGCGACACCTACAAAGCATTATCAGCATTCCAACTGGAAGCATCCAGCTCTCTGATATAGGTATGACACACAATCATCTCCTCTTCAGCAGTCCTTCCTGGGAGGGATTCAGAAAAAAAGCCACAGACAATGGTTTAAAAAAAAAAAAAAAAGTCTGCAAAACCTGTCGTACCATGGAACTTGACAGCCTACCTGTTTAGCTTAATCATAGGATGGATTCAGCCTGTAAACACACGTGGAAAAAGTTTTAGTACTATAAATCTATCCTACACCCATCAAAAACACTGTAAGAGCCAATGACTGGGAAGATAAATGAATTCAGAGATCCTTTACTTTTTGAAAAGTTTGAATGTAATTAACAGCTGAAGAGTTTGCCTTGGAAAATGGTTTCTCTTCAACTACCAGCAAAAGGCAGGTATTAGAGGCTAGATTAAATCAGGTACAGTTCTGTGGCACAGTACATACACGGTCACATTTGACCATTTCCATTGCTCTTTTCCAGTTTCCACCCTGCCAACGTCAGAGATACGAGAGCTCTCCTTTGGGATCAGCTATTCAGCCGCCCATGAGAATCCCTGATCCCAAAAAACTTTCTACTCCCCACTTACTTTCGTATTAGACCTAGTGAAAAAATAATCTGTATAAACCAGCCGTACGTATATTAATGTAAGAACACAGTGTACAGGGTCAGTTCTCGGCATTTAAGATGGGACATAAGAAGTGTTCCTTGAAGACAAGCCAGGCAATAACTTTTCAAAGAACTAAAACTT